CATGCTGGCATGGCACCTTGCCATATTTCTTGGATGGGTGAGGAGCTCTCTCGGAGGACTGTTGCCTGTTTCTTCACAGCTCTTTGGTTGGAGCATCCATGGGTTTTCTCTACTGGCTGCCTTCCTTTTGAGTTTGCCTTTTTTCCCCATTCCCTCCCACCATCCACTAAAATAAAAAATAAAAATAAAGACGGTATCTTTAAAAAGTCACTAGGGCACCCAGGGTGATAAAAAGGTGCTCAGGAGGGGTTGCCGTTACCTTCCTCGGAGGCTGAGAGAGTGTGACTTGCCCAAGAACACCCACAGGGTCCCCCAAATTTAGTCCAACATTCAAACCTCTACGCCGCACTGGCTGTGGTGCCATTAGCCGCCAAAAACTTTTCCATTCCCCTGATGGTTCTCAAAATTTTATTTATTGTGGTTCTCAAAATTTTATTTATTGTGGATACAGCAGCAGAGATTCCTTTTAGGGTCATGATAATCTTGCCTCTTTCGATTGCCAGAATAGTAGGCCAGAGGGCAAGTTTAACAGATTGTATTGTTATTCTGGCCTAAAGACCCAAAAGGCACCAGATCCCATCTGATCTTGGAAGCTAAGAAGGGTCAGTCCTGGGTTAGTCCTTAGATGGGAGACCAGCAATGAATACTAGGTGATGCAGGCTCTGTTTCAGAGGAAAGAACTTCCAAACCACCTTTGAGTAGTCTTTGCCTAAGAAAACCCTATGAAATCTATGGGGTCGCCATAAGTTGACAGGTAGCTTCCTATCAGATCTTGGGAGCTAAGCAGGGTCAGACCTGGTTAGTACTTGGATGGGAGACCACCAATGAATCCCAGGTGCTGTAGGCTCTATTTCAGAGGAAGGAAATAGCAAAACCACCTCTGAGGATTCCTTGCCTAAGAAAACCCTCTGAAATTCATGGGGTCTCCATAAGTCAGCAGGCAACTTGAAGGCACACGCAAACATTGGCTGCATCTACAATGCAGAAATAATCCAGTTTGACACCACTTTAACTGCCTTTTCTCAAAGCTATGGCAACTTGGGAATTAATGTTTGCTGGGGCCCCAGGGCTCTCAAAACTGCAGTTCCCCAAATTCTGTAGCATTGAGCCAAAGCAGTTAAAGTGGTGTCAAACTGAATTATTTCT